TAAAAGCTGTGGAATATATGTAGTATAGTTGGGACAGCCTAACTCCTTACCTTACCTCATGGACCCCTCGGGACTACTTGTCTAACTTCACCTTCCAATTCAAGGCTTAAGTGACTGGCAATGCGACATTATTAAGCCGAAAGAGAAAACTCTAATGTTGAATAAAAAAGGGATAATGTTAGATACGGGTAAATGAGGGGTGATATCAGACAGAGCCGGTTATATGGGAAAGTAACACCCTGAATTTTCTCAAGACTAACCAAATTACAACCGAATTGAAAGGCGAATTTTTGAGTATTGTTATTACTGTCGCCTTCATTACTAAAATCCGCAGAATATGCAAATGCCTTAAAATGAAAATGATTTTTATTAACGTTTCTGTGTTTGATTGGTGGAAATATACTGTGGCAGTTCGCAATATTAAATCTCAAGTATTATTCGAAACTCATAGTTGTTAATTTTGATTATCCAATTCAGTATGTTGTACTTTAATTTTCAATGTTTTTCTAAGAATCCTACTATATTCTACTTATTATTATTATTATAAATGCGAAATGAAGTTTTTTGTTTGTAACGTTTTCATGCCTAAACCACTGAATTGATTATCATAAATTTTGGTATACTGGTAGACGGGACCTTAGAGACGGCTATAAGCAATTTTTTTCTACGAATAACTTCCCTATAAGTAGGGTGACGAAAGGGCAACTATTACTAAGAAAAATTTTATTACACCGTCCGATTTTCAAACTTTGCAGATTTGTTGTTCATAATTAGTTATTAAAGTATGCATATTAGTTTTTTTTCAAACTCCTTTAAATATGGGGTGAAATTGGGTTGTATAATTACCAAAGTAGATGGCGCTGAACAACATTTTAAAACGCGGTAAGGTTTTGTTTTATCATAGTATATTGATAGTATATTTTATCATATCATACGCATTTTTGCCTTTAGTACTTTAAATATTAGATTGAAGGCTTACTGCTTAAAACTTTTTGATTTAGTCCTGGGTAGATTTTGTGGATATATCAAAATTTTTGATCCCGATGGGTATTATCCTGCACGACAAAACTATAAAAAATACCAAAATCCGACACTCCAAAAAAAGTGTCAATGGAAATGGAGTATGATGTGGACGAACGATATGTTTAAATACAATAAAAGACTACGTCAGAGGGTAGACCGATATGTCTGCCAATAACATCTACCCGCAATATCTTGAGTTATTCTTGATCATGGCGACTCACAAAAACAAATTCTCTCAAACTATAACGATACAAATAATATTACAACCAAGATGACTTCGGTTAAATGTAGATGCCGGTCGCATAACTGATTCCCAAGCGGCCCTAAACAGATCCAACTGACATCCAACATTCTGTTAGTATCTGCCAATTAAATTATTGAAGGCTTAAGCCGCGCAAAACGTAACGATGTCCAAAGACTCGCTATCGCAAGGGGCAGCCTGAAAGCACTTTACGCAGCCGAATCTGACTGGCTGTGCTACTTGGATATTAGTTATAGACATAGTTACCTACAGTAAAATTAAACGACGTATGATCGAATAAAAATGACTATACAAAATTTAAATCAACGTTTATGTGTATGAACGATTGTCGCACCAAGACACTGATACATTGAATGAGGTGTGTGGGACAGTCAGGTCTCCTATCTAATGAGGTATTCCTATTTAATTACGTTTAAATTATTATAAAATGAATTATAGAAAAAAATGTATGCGTATTGTGCGCCTTTAAAAATTCGAATGCTCGGGTCTTCTTCACGGCTTCTTTCACCCGTTACGTTTCGTTTTCGTCGTTTTCCTTCTTGTGCAATAGATGGAGACACAAGCGTTGACAGAGGTGATGCGCAAATAAGCCTGCGTTTCCACATAAGCGAAGTTGCGCGAAGCTAAGTCGTGTCTTATAAAAATATATCAATCGCATTGCTCAAAATAAACACCTCTTCTCAGCTCCGCTTCAGTGGAAACAATGTTAGTGGAGTTGAGAAGAAATAGATTAAAATTTATAATTAGGTGAGAAGGAGTAGAGTGTTGTCATGTTGAGTGTGGTGCAGCGCTGGGTGGATTTGAACTGAGCGGAGATGAGCCAAGCGAAGCTGTTCATCATCATCATCAGCCTATTAATTTCCCCACTGCTGGGGCACAGGCCTTCCCTATGGATGGAATAGGGAGATTGGGCCATGACCCACCACGCGGGCCCAGTGCGGATTGGCGGGTGCTAACGACTGCAGATGCAGCCGGGACCAACGGCTTAACGTGATTTCCGAAGCACGGAGGAGCTCGAGATAGTAATTTTTGGTCACCCATCCAATGACCTACCACTGCGAAAGTTGCTTAACTTCAACGATCGCAGCCGAACGCGCTAACCACTTGCGCCATCGAGCTCCTCCTGCTTTTATTTAGTTGAAGTAAATAAAATATTTAATAAAATGTTTAATAGTTTTTCAACTTACAAGCTCCTTAAAGAAGTTCTCAGGCTTCGCCGTGGTGGTGGACATCGCCATCATGAAAGCGAAGAAGAAGAAGATAGATCGCAGCCGAACGAGCTAAGCACTTGCGCCATCGAGCTCCTCATTGTTCGTTGTTTGCATTTGCATTGCTTTATTCAATTGTTTAACTGACAAATAAAATGCATTCACAACTCCGCTCAGCTTATCTTCAATTTGTGCCACTCAGCTTACTCTACTTCACACAGCGCTGCACGGCTCACATTCGCATAGCTTTAATACAAACACTTGCATATTTACACGGATTCGCTCTGCCCAATCCCGCACAGCTCCGCTTTTGTAGAAACGCACCCGGGCGCTTTCAATTTATGCGTTTCTTGACGGCCAGCTGCGGTGCCGAAGTGGTGCGTTTGTCGTACAGCGTACGGGCGATCCTTTTTTTTCATACAAAACTCGCGGTGCGGCAACAGTCCTGGGGGCCAATCGCCTAACTGGATTGCTTTGGAAAACGCTATCGCTTACGATTTCATTTTGTTATTTCTAACCGCCGAAATACCTCACGCTCATTTTCTTTAACATTGTTATTACCAATGCAAAAGAAAAAAAAAGAGCGCGAGGCATTTGAAAACCGCAGGGGGCTAGAAATAACAAAATGAAATCGTAAGCGATAGCGTTTTCCAAAGCAATCCAGTTAGGCGATTGGCCCCCTGTTGTCGAGCGTTTGCGGTACCGGCGCCGCACTGTTGCCGCACCGCGCGTTTTGTATCAAAAAAAAAAAGGTTCGTAAATCTATATCTCTAAGGTATCTAAATAGTAATCTGGTAATATTTACAATCTGGACACAAAACGATGTAGTCGATATCCCGCTGAGATTTAAAATGTTCTTAAACTATCATATATTTATTCTCGCATATACTCCAATTGATATTAAATGCACCAGTTATATTATGCGATGTTTAAAAGAACTACGTAATGAACAGGCATACAATATATTACATAGCGGCATCCGTAAATAATGTTCTATTTTGTGCCCATGATTGTATCGACCAAGTACCAGAAATAAGAGATGTTAAATAAGGAATCTTTGGATCTGTATGGTTCTTTTTGCAAAGTATTATAGAATATCTTAACGTGTCGATCGATCCAATTGATCAACAATCAAATCAACATTAACGCTAGCGAAGCAGCGGACAAAAGCTAGTATGTTTGTTAATCAATCACGCGAAAACTGCTGAATTGATTTGGATGAAATTTGGTACGCGTATATTTTATCCCGGAAAAATTATATGTTCCTATGGGATTTTCAAAGAAACTAAAGTTAGACGGTAAGCGCTATGAAGTAAGAAACGAGAATTTCTCAACCAAAATTCTTCAAACTCGTTGCAGTTGAAAAACGTTTTTTAAAAAAAATATCCTGACAAGTCTTTCTTATTTATTTTAGAATATTGATTTTTTTTACAGGGATGTTTTTTTATATTAATATATTTTATGATTTTGATTTTGCACTTTAATTTTATGTATATTTAAACAAACCAAAGAAATCATTCAAGCTAAAAAAAACATTGAAAATTGCACTCTATCTCTACTATCTTGATTTTTTATCATAAAATACCAATAGCTTATATCACTTAGAATGATTGTAAGGATTCTACCGATACCATATTTTTTATCAGTAAAGCTGTTCAGGTTACATGAGGTCACAATGGAATGTACTTATACAATCCAAACATACGAATAGGGAATATTACTCTTCTACAAAAAGAGACGGGTAAATCAAAAATGCCAAAAATAATTAAAATGTGAAGCTAAATTTTAAAATCGGGTCTACTATTTTTTAGAACGGTCAGTAAGATGCGAGATGACATCCCCATACCTGACGGATGCTTCGTTGGAGAGAAAATCTTGCTGCTTTTTTATGTACGTAGTTATTGTTATTTTTAAACCAACTTACTTACTGATATTTCATTCAATGATTCAATTGCATTAAAAATATTCCATTTGAAATTTGTTTAAGATAAGCAAATGAAATTGAAAAACAGTAGCCAATAGTGCTTTTAATTCTAAGCTATCATTTAAAAGTTGAGGTTGTCTTAAAATTCACTACAAATGTTATTGCAATATTCAGAAAATTTATGAAAATCAAAGATTCTGGGAGTCCAAAGTTCCAGATGATTTGTCACTAAAAAGAATTAAACTTTATTTTTTAAGGTTCCTCCTTGGTTACAAATAAATACATTAATAAAATCAAATTTATATTTTAAGGCGTTGAGTTTATAATCACTAAAAATATTAAATATTTTTTAAGAACCAGTAAAAATGGTGAAATGGAGAAAAAATTACATTATAATAATATAAAATTTACATATATTGAATTATTACATTTTGGTAATTGGAACACTAAAATAATTACTGAAAAAAAAATACAGATACAATAAAAACATCAGTTCCATAAGAATTGTTCATAACAGTTGATAACACAATAAAAAAGGCATTAACATTGATAAACAAAACGCAAAAGTCACAGAAGTACTCACCATATCATCATAAAAAGGCATCAGGATACGCAAAATTCGCTTTATGTGATAAGAACATAACGTCCAATTTACGTCAAAACCACTGCACGAGAAACGTGTGTCTGTCCATTGTTCATTTTCAATGTCTGCATTTTCTCCACCTATTTTGACAGATCACTTCAAAAAGAACCATTTAAAAAGTCACTGCCTGAATTTATTATTTTTCTTTTCTTTCAAAAATAGAACTGCTTAATTTGAAAAAAGAAGAGGTTCCAAATCCTACTTTCTTAAAGGAAACAAAACAATTGAATAGATAAACTTTTTCTTATAGCATTAAATTTTCTGTTGTGGAGTTGCGAAAGTAAGCGAAGGGATCGCGAGAACTTTTCAGGCATGCGTCGATCTGTTTGTGAGAGTTATCGGGGCACGTCTGTACGTCACGAACCCTGAAACTAAACTGAGCCGTGGTGTACTGCGCTCTGTACTGCAGTGTTTCAGTTGAGCTCGCGTTTGTATTTATCCATCCATGATTGCTGAAATTCTGAGTACTTACTCTATGCTTGAACGCTACGTCGCGATAACAAGGATGCTCCATATAAGACGCGTGTTTATTTAACAAGATTATTACGCTTTACGTCGAAAGCGGAGGCTGTACAATCTATACAATTGTTAAAAAAGCTGTAGTTCGTTTGTTTGTCTGTGTGGTTGAACGCGCTAGTCTCAGGAACTACTGATTCGAATTGAAAAATTATTTTTGTGACATATAGCCCATTTATCGAGGAAGGTTATAGGCTATGAAGATTGGTTTTGAATAGTCCTCATGATACGACAATAAATATCTATAATCATGTACCTAATAATATAAAGAATGTAGAAATATCTGCCAAATTCAACAATCAAATAAAATCATATTTAATCCAAAAATGTTTAAATAATTTAAAAGATTTTTTTTGACGACAAATGTAATTAATTTTTAAAATTGACATTTTCATTATTATTATTGCTTATTGACATTTTTAAATATATTTTATAAAATTTAATTGTTGTTTAAAAACTGAAATGTGAACAAAGTATTATAATATAATTATTTAACAAGCCCTCTGGCTTGATATTTGATATGCCCTTGCAGGGCGTCACATATTTACCTTACATAAATTAATGTACCATCATGAATGTAATGTGACATGCAATAAATAAATAAATATTTATCATCATGATAAGAATAATATGAGCGGCGCATCAATGAAAAGAACGTTACAAAATCGGGGAATAAATATCCCTTTTAAGAGCTTTCGTTGCGTGTGCTGTGTAAAGAGTTAAAGTTACACAAAATACATTTACAAAGTTTTTTTTTCCTTTTAAAGTTCTAAACTAAAGTCCGCGACAGCATATGTCTATTTTTGTAAACATGATATTTATTCTTTATCAAAATTAACACATTATTCATCACAAGTTGTTATTATTTTTCAGCTATCTTCGCATCTGGACTTCACCTTCACTTAACATCAGGTGGGGTGGAGTCATTTGTTGGACCTATCTATATAAAAAAGTACTATATTTTGATCAAAATTAGTCTTGACTTCAGTGGCATACAATAACTATTTTAAGAGATATCATAGTTTTAAAATAAAATCACTGAATGGATTTAGATGAAATTTGATGCACATATAGTTTTGACCTGGATTGAGACAAAGGATACTTTTGTCCCGGAAAAGTATCAGGTTCCTAACTTTTAAAAAAAACTAAATTTAACGTGCACGAGGTCGCGAGCGACCGCTAGTGTACATGTAATGTGCTTTCAGATTTTTTTAAGGAAAAACATTAAATGTACCTAAATCGGAGTCAAGTTAACTTATATTCCCTTATACTCCCTTCTACTGAAGACCGTTAATAGCAGCATCGACTGCCCTTTTTTATTTTTTGTGACGCAGGCAAAACTCTGTTTACACACGACGGCCCCTTTAAGAGGCACACCGCCGAACGGACCTCACACCTGGCTCCCGCAAACCTTACGAGCCCCCACAGTGGCTGCCCACTGAGGACCCCGTAACTCTTACGGGCGCTTTACGGCATAATATCCGCTAAAAAACCCTGCGAGTACCCTCTAAACTGCTTAGTGCGAAACCGCGGGATCCCCGTTTAGGGATACTTCCGCGTCTCCTCACCCAGCAGCCTCCCGGCCTAGCCGGGGCTCCACGGCAGGGGTCTCCCGAGGTATTGTGGGGACCCCGCAGACGTGCGCAGGATGGCCCGCGCGTGGGGACTGAATACGTGGCCTAGTGCCCACCGTACCGCCCTCCGTAGCATCGACTGCCCTGAATTATTAAGCAAAATATTTATTAGTACCTCTAACAAAACCACTAGACACAGTAAAACTCTTAATGTGCCGTTAAAATTCTTTCACAATTAGAGCTCTTCACACTTTAGACCAGTACTCATCAGGCCAATTAGATGTTGATTTGTTTTGTCTCAGCTTGAATTCATTTAAAAAAAATCAATAATCTTTATCCGAATACTTAAACTATGTATATTACATATTATATATTTTTTATCTTTCTGTTTTTTTTAATTGCTTATCTTTATATATATAATTCTTCTGTGAGTGTGTATGTCACTGAACTTCTCTTAAACGACTGGACCGATTTTGATGAAATTTTTTGTGTGTGTTCAAGGGGATCTGAGAATGGTTTAGATTCACAATTTTGTCCGCTGGACAACCCCTATTTTTTTAGGGCGGTACGAAGTTCGCTGGGTCAGCTAGTAAGTATATAGTGTCACAAACGCTCTTGAAACGTATCCGCGAAAGTGCTAGAGATCGAATTTGCCAGATCACCGCGGGTCGCGATAGAGGTCGAGTAATGCGGCTCATTCCAAAAAGGAGCCGTATGCCGTGCAGCGGAAGGTTGAAAGTGCAACGACATCTGCACTTGTTTCCAAGTTATGCGCGTTACCTGCGTAGGTATAAGTAGGTACTCGCGGGTGCTAGCTAATTCTCAATTTAACAGGTACTTTCTAGAATGCGTCGATCGGCGTATAGAAGCGCGATTGGCGCCGCGCAGTGACAGTTGAGTTTCAACAGCGATTTCGGAGCGAATCCAAAGGCGATCAAAGTGCAACAAAAGTGTTCAAGTGAGATTGTTTAGAGACTTGTATAGTAAAATACAGTGTATAGTGAGTGTTTTGTAATTAACATTGTGTGTTAATTGTGTGAACTGTGTGGTGAATAAAGAAATGTCAAGCGTGAACTGGCATGTAATTTCGAACCCCATCCCGACACGTAACAATAGTATACATACCTACTTAATAATGCATTTAAGCATCTTGTGCGCTTCATGCCGACTTTTTTTAATTATTACTGTAACTACCTGCGGAAAGTATTAATTGGCCTTAAACATTAATATTATGCAGAATAGCAAGTAAGAGATACTAGCTGTAAGTTTCCCAAAAACTGTAAAAATAAAAAATAGTCAAAACAACGACAACGCACAATGTTTATTTTTATTGTACAAAGATTTATTTTATTCTGTTCAACGAGTTGACAAGACAAACGAGAGGTATTTTTTTAACATTATAAACATGTGAGAATAATAAAGCAATACGATGTTTTATCTTAACGGTTAAAGATTAGAGTGTAAACTACTTATATTTTATTTACTCATCCAAATTTAACGCGCCCAAGTTTTGCCAGCTAGGTTAATTCACCGTCATTAACTGAAATATAAAATAAAAAAAAAATACAAAAGTCATTTGTATACTTTTTTTATTTTGTCAGAGGGCTGGCAGCTATTTCGCGCAGAGAATCAGTTTAGCCATTCAGCGAGGTAATGCTGCCAGTGTTCTGGGTACCATGCCCCAAATTGGAATTTTGGATGACACATTCTTCTTGTGAATATGTATATAAATATATTAGGGTTAATTTTTAATATTAAGTTTTTAGTTAGATATAGTTGTCAATATAGCGGACTTTTTATTTATTTATAAACTAGTGGTCCGCCCTCACTTCGCTTCGGTGTAGAGCTGCAGTGTAGACTATAGTTTTTGTTCTCAGGCGTGTATTGAATTCTTTTTCTATGATTCTTTTTTTATTGAATAGGTAATAATGTTAACTTTTTTAAATTAGAGATGAGTGAGAGTATTATAAACGTAAGAGTAAACAAATATAATCAGAATGTTGCTAAGCTATCAGGAGTTACACGTATTATTGTGAGTAAACCATAAAAGATAGACATATGCTGTTGCGGGATATTTTTTAGACAATTTTATGTAGAATATTTCCGTCATACATGATTTCTATGTAACTTTAACCATTAAGGCTGCGCACGCGACGGAAGCTTAAAAAATGGAGTAACTTCTCCCGTTTTCCCAACATTTCCCTTCACTACTCTGTTCCTATTGATTGTAGCGTGATGAAAAGTATACTATAACCTGCCCAGGAGTATGAAGAATAATTGTACCAAGTTTCGTTAAAATCTGTCGAGTAGTTTTTGTTTCTATAAGGAACATACACACAGACAGACAGACAGACAGACAGACAGACAAAAAATTTACTGATTGCATTTTTGGCATCAGTATCGATCACTTATCACCCCCTGATAGTTATTTTGAAAATATATTTCATGTACAGAATTGACCTCTCTACAGATTTATTATAAGTATAGATAAACATTAAATAGGTAATATTTACATTTAAATAACAAGGTATGAAACCTGCCGATGTGTATATTTAAGCCACGGTTACCTTTAAAAAACCGGTGTTGTGTGCACTTATAACCTGCGTTGCGAGGATTTGTTGACAGCAAGGCAATGCGGCGTTGGTCACTGTCGTGGAGCACACGGTAGTGGCGGCCGCCGCACTTGCGAGGAATGCAGCTAGGGAGGTACTGTAACGTCCGTGATGTTACAACCTCCTTGTCTAAGTAAACTCTTTGCTTTTGCAATGCCTACGGTTGGCAGTTATATTAAAAAGTTAATGTCATGATTTTAAGATTTGAAATAAGGAATCGTCTGTCTTTTTGATAGAAGGTTCCATTCAAGATTAGATCTTCGGGCACCAAGAAAACCTCTCGTATTTAGATAAAATTCTTTATATTAGCCTGAATGAAATAAATAACTTATCTCTACCAGTATCTTTTAATTAATAAGCACGTCCCCAGGTTCTATCCATTCTGGGTAGAACTGCATAGTACTACCTGTATGTGCATTGAATAGATCTTCGAAATTGCTAGGTTACGAATAACAAATTCAAAGGGAATTGGTACAATTATTTTAAACGGGCGGTTGTTAAATTTTTGTGTAGAAAATGCCAACAGTTAAAAACTCTTACTTACAAATAACATTTAGGTTTAAATCTAAAGAAAATATAAGTAGATAAAATTCCACGCGGACCAGGCAGCAGACGGGACTCGAACCTGCACCCTTCGCTATCCTTGCGAAGGCACT